AACCCAAACATGGAATTTCAGAGCTTGCCAATACACAGTAAAACCCTATCAAACTCCATCTTAGCCTCCATCTCCCTGGTAATGCATCTGTACGCTTTGTGCACGGGCTCCTCCTGGTCACTGTCTAACAATGAAGCACCTAGGTACGGCCAGCCTCCAGGAAGGTGAGTCCTCCGCACACGGATGGAATTAGTGCACTTCCCTCCTGCTGTGACAAGGATGGTCTAAACACAGCTGTGTGCTTGCCTCTGATGCCAGGCACAAAGGCACCTTCTAGTCACTTAAGAAAGCAACACGAGCCAGGAGAAGGCTCAGGGCTTTGAAGGCAGATGGGACGATTCCAAGCTATAGTTGTACCCGTTTACTGGCTGGGTGGCTCTAGGCATGTCATCTCATTTCCTTGACACTCAGTTTCCCAGTCAGTAAAGTGAGGACAACTCCTGCCACAGGGTCACTGTGAGGATTTAACGAGTTGTTTACTGCATGTGACATGCTCAGTGGCAGGACAAGTATGTGGTGAGCACTCATTACAGGCGGCCCTTAACAACATCAGCATCATCGGGCAGGCAAACCAAGAACCTAACACCAGGGACACACAACAGCCCCAGGGTTTGAGAGTTCCCTCGTTCATGGGCAGCCCCACCCCGCCAAAACGGAGCAGACGGGCAAACAACACATGAGCAAAAGGAAAAACTTCAAGATCACAGTCAGTTCACTTGAGACAGACACAGTCCCAGCCCTCACACAGCCGACCCTTTCAGATCCAACAAGCAGGTGGCATCGGGTCAGCCCCAAAGACAAACTCCAGCCTCCCATGTGGATGAGACAAGGCAGGGACCCTGAAGTTTGACTCTAAAAAGCCCCAGAGCAGCCCCTTCTGCCTAGAGGTTGCTCAGCTGGTGCCCACTGGGAGGCAAAAGCCATCACAGGGCGCTCTCCCAGGAATTCCACGAGCTCCCATTCCACATTCCACCACTGCCAACTCGGTGTCAAGGTGCACCGAGATCAGTGCTGGAAGGGACCCTGCACCATCCTGGCCGACATCCTCAAACAGCACCAGCGAGACTGAAGGCCAAGAACCTTGGCTTTTCCATCAGAAGCCAGGTCTTGGGACTCCTGCCCAGTGGCTTTTTTCTTTCTTCTTACCTCAAGTTTCAGTTATGAAACATATTCTACATGTAAAAAGTACAGAAAGTAAAATCCATTTAATTCTTATCCAGTTAAGCCAGAACCGATTATCATCTCACTTGACAGATAAGGAAACTAAGACAAAGGGAAGTTAAATAACTTGCCTCCAGTCACGCATCGGGTAGGTGGCAGAGCTGGGGTGGACCCAGAAGTCGAGATCCAGAGTCTGCATGTTCTTGTGGGAGCCTGGCTCTCCGGTGACTGCCAGTGATTCCTTCCCTCTCCGAGAAATCAACCAGCTGCCGCTGAGTCAACTCCAAGTCATGGCGACCTCACGCATCAGAGCAGAACTCTGCTCCAAAGGACTTTCAGTGGGTTTTCTCAAACCTCTGACCTCAGAAGCTGGGCGTGTTAACCATCTGGACCACCCAGGGACTCCCATCTCTAACGAGAAGGATCTAATTCCCCGCTCCTTGAACCTCAGCTGGCCTCAGTGTGAGACAGTACCACAGACTTTCTGAGATTCCTACAGCTAAGTCATAAAAAGTCTTACAGTTTCTGCTCAACTCTCGGGACATTCGCCCTGGGGGAAGCCAGTCGCCTTGTAAGAAATCCGACTACCCTGAGACCACCCTGCTCGAGAGGCTCCAGCCACCAGTCCCGGCCATCACCGCCAAGATGCCTGACTGAAGGCACTTGAACCTTCTGGGCCAGGACACGTACCAGCTGGGCTTCACCAAATGACCTCAGTCAATAAATACCACAAAGAGCAAAAGAACCACTCAGCAGAGCCCTTCCTGAATCTATGACACACACATCTAGTCTCTTGCATCAAATGGCTCCCACTGAGCCCATGTCAGGAGGGCCATCCCGCTGGCCAGCAGGCAAACTCCTCCTTTAACTGTCCACATAAGCAGCTGCTCCGCCATGAGGACTGCCCCCAGCCCCCTCTACTCCTCTGACACCCAGAGGGACAGCGGCCCTCCTCTTGGCACAATGCCCAGAACCAACCCCCACTGTGGCACTCACCACACAATCCTGCAATGGCTGCATCTGTATCTGTCCCCCTCCTGAAGGTGGGAACTCTCTCCTTCCTCTTCTCTCTCAGCAGAGCCTGTTGTTGTTGTTACGTGCCGTCGAGTCGGCCCCGACTCATAGCGACCCCTCCTTGGGTTTCCGAGGCAGTATCACTACGGAGGTAGATTGCCCCATCTTCCTTCCAAGCAGTGGCTGGCGGGTTTGAACCGCCAGCCTTCTGGTTAGCAGTCAAGTGCCTTAGGCACTAGCTACCAGAACTCCTCTCAGCAGAGCCTAGTACCTAGTATGTCAGCAAGTTTCAGATGAACAGATCAAACTGCTCAGTCACGACAGGTCCAGAGAAAACACCTATTTCACTCAAAAACATTTTACGGCTCTGAGCAAAGCAAACACGTGCCTCAGACCAGGTTTCCCCACCTTGTCATGAAGGACCACCACAGCACTGAGCCAGCACTTCAACCACACCACGCCTCTTCTGAAGACCCTTCGAAGGACCCCAATGCCCCAGATCGAACTCCAACACCTAAATGAGACTTCAAGGTCCCGGACCCACTGGCCTCCACTCACTGGTAACAACGATGGCCAAAATAACAGCTGTTCCCACCGGTCGAGCGCTCAGTACGTGCTGTGCACTGTGTCAACCCACTGTCACAGATCTGCTCACCCCCAGTCATGAGGGGGGTGGATACCGACACTGTCTCCATTCTGTACATAAGGAAATGGGGGCTCAGAACACTGGTCACTTACTCCAGGGCGCACACAAGCCCCACAGGCTTCGCTACTAAAACAATAGAGGCACCACAAGGATTTGAATCTAACTACTGTGGCGTCTGCAGCAGCTGGAGCAATGCCTGGAGAGTGAACACTCAAATACTGAATGAATGAATGAATGGATGGACGGATGGAAGGAGGGAAAGGACAGAGGGAGCGGGCCACGGAGCTCCCCTAGGGCAGTGTTTACTAAACCTGGCACATTACCAAGGTCACCCAGGGCCTCGGCAGGGCCCACCTGGGGCTACCAGATGAGAAGGGGGCCCAGTAACCTGGGTGTGTAAAAGCACCCAGGTGTTTCTGAGGGTCAGCCAGGCGTGAGATCCGCAGGCCAAGCACAGAAAGGAAGCCAGTGTCCAGTCTCAAGGGCACACCTGTATTTCCCACAGTGCCTGCTCTACCCCCTGCAGGCCCCCACCGCAGCTGCAACAGGTTTCTGAGCCACCTGGGAGGCCGAGTGCAGTCAACATGCCACAGAGGAGAGCTGGGAGGGAGTCTGGCTGCCTCCACTCAGGGGCATTTCCAAGCAAAGCTTCTGGCACTGGGCCACCTGAAGCCATTCCAGGGCCAAGAGAAACCTTTGGCAGCTATTTCATTGTATCCACGATAACAGAAAGCAAGGAAGGGGTGCAGAGCTACCACAGTTGCCGGCAAGCAGACACATTCAATACCTATGATCCAACAGGACACTAAGGGTGGGGACCAGGCATTCTCAGACCAAGTAGGGTGAAGCCCAACGGGGCAACCTGTCTTATGGCATGTTACCAAATTCTCCTTGAAGGGCACTGCACCCTTGAACCCTTTCTAGACTCAATTATTTTCTCCTTTGAATTTTTTGTTGCTATGTGTTTTCAATAATGGGAGGCATACTGAAATCAAGGGGAAAATTTTTTTTTTTTTTGAGGTAATATGGACTTTTATGATTATGTGGGACATATATGTCCCATGTGGACTATGATGGTAGGATCAGTGGGGTGAGACCCATGTCTTCAGATTCACACAGTTATACAGGTCCCTGCAACTCAGTTCCCAAGAAACCTGAGAGACTGAAAATGGTGGGCAACCTGTGCCCCATGGGTCATGAAAGGGCTAAGTCAGAAACCACCCTTCTAGGAGGTTGTGTGTTAGGCACTCCCATATCCCTGAGTGTGCATAAACACATAAGGCAAGGACAGTTCCCATGGCATTGACCCTAACAGCAAAAGATGTAACTTTTTTTTGGAGTTTGGAGGGGCTTGACTGCACACAGCAATCTGAGTGGATACTAAGTACCCCTGAAACAGAGGCAGATTGACACGCCAAACAAAGAAATTCCAGGTGCAGACTGTACGTGGGAGGCACCCATTTGTGGACACAACATCACCCAAGCCCCAGTACTTCTTGAAGACAAAGGAAACCGACAGTGAAGTTGAGCCCAGGGCAGGGGCTGGGGAAAAGAGACACTTATTTCTTAGTTGTTGGATTTTTTTCCCTCCAAGCACACATTATCATGTTTCAATTAAAAACAATTCAATTAAAAAAAAAAAAAAAAAAAAGCAAAGAACAGCCTGTCTCTACAACCGACTGTTGCTTAAGTCCCTGCCTCTGCTGGTCAAAAACAGTCTCAGCAACTGTACGGCCTGGAGTGGTTGCCCAACCTAAAGGGAGTTGGGGCGGGGAAGGCCAGGCCCTGCCGCCAGCACCAGAGCCTCCCGTGAAAGCTGAAAGCGTCAGCGGACCTGGGGCCAGCTTACCCTAGGACAGACGACTGAGCAAACGGGAGCCAGACCGTCCCTGCCGCCCAGGCGGGGACACGCTCTCCCAGCCCAGGTGAGCATCTCCCCAGGGGCCCTGCTAAACTCCTTCTAGGGCTGTGCTGCCTGGATGGCCGGCCTCTGCTCGAAACCCCATCAGAGGCCAGACAAGGGCCTCCCTGCAGCAGCTCCCTGGTGTTGAGAAGATTAACCAAGAACATGTGCAGTACCAGCCACGGCATAAGGCGGGGGGCCAGGGCTAGAGCCGGGTCGCTCGCTCGCTCACACGCACACACGCACGCCCGCCCCCGGCACCGCTGCAGTACTCACAGAAGCCCTCGATCTTGTCGGCTGTCTTGCTCCAGGCCACCTGCCGCGTCTCCATGATCACCTGGACAGTCCTGCGCTCGGGCGTGGACTTGCGGAAGCTGAACACGGTCATCACGGTCCCCAGCTCCAGGGCTCTCTTGATCTGACTCTTCTCGTATTCTGGAAGCGTGTCCACGCTGCCCACGGTCGTCATTGTCGGGCACCCCGAGGAGACGGCAGAAGGGAGGGAACAAGGAGGCTGGGGAGACAATGAAAGAGAACTGGTTATGATTAACCGCAGGGGCGTCTTCTTGGGCTATGGGTCTCAGCAACCAAAATCCTGCCTCGTGCCCATAGAACGAGCTTCTGCAGAGGGCTCTGTTGGCAGGCATCGCCAGCCACTGGAGAGAGCAGGCAGGTGCAGAGGTTTAAATGGACAACAAGGGGCAGGGAAGGGCCCCGTTGGCCTCAATGACCTGACCGTTACCAGGCTTTGAATAACCAAAGCAGCCCAGCCTCCAAGCAGCCACCCCCCTTCCCTGCACCCACTGTGACCCTGGAGAACATTTGAATAGCCAGAGCAGCTCTGACCAGCTCCCACACACAAGCCTCTCTTCCCTGCTGCCTAGGTTTCTGGCCCACGGGAGGAAGATGGGACAATCCACTTCTATAAAGACTGACCGCCTTGGAGACCCCATGGGCGTTGCTCTGAGTCGGAATTGACTCGGTGGTGGTGGGTTTGGCCTGAGTGACGATGAGAACAGCAGAAAGGCAGCAGAGGCAACTGACTGGATGGAAACAGGGCAGGCTCTCGGGTCCAAATCCTGGTTTAGGTTCTGCTGCCTGTGTGGCCTTGGGCAGGCTGCTGAAGCCCTCAGTTTCGTGCTGTCCACAACGGGAGAGTTAGGAAAACTGGAACGCAATGCCTCCAGCAAAGCCCCTCATGGGACGCCAGCATCAGGCGCCCTCTCTGTCAGAGCCATGTCTCACTCCCAGGCAGCACACATCACACAGCTGCCCAGACCCCACACCTGAGTCACACCTATTTCCTCTCTCACCTCCACACGCTAACCACCAGCAAATCCAGAACCAGACCTGTCTGCCCTTCACCTTTCCTCCCGAGATCTCTTCCTGTCACCTGCGTGCTGGTCTCCCTGCTTCCACCCCACCCCTACACAGTCAATTCTCAGACCTAGAGCCAGAAGGATCCTTCCAGAACATGAGTTAAATCAGTTCATGCATGTTCCCCATTTCACTCAGAGGCAAATCCAAACCCCTTAGCAGTCTGCCCACCCTCTCCTCTGACCTCTGCTCCCACAGCTCTCTGCCTTGTCTGCTCCAATGAGGTAACCTGCCTACTGCTCTCACACACTGATGCCCCAGGGCCTTTGCATGTGCCTAGGAAGCACCATTCATCCCTCCACTTCCTTTGGGTGTTTGTTCAAAGGATCTTTGCAACAGGCATTCTCTGACTATCCCCACACAAAACATCACCCTATCTGGCGTCTGTGCTTAGTGTCTACCACCCCACCAGAACATAAGCTCCACTTTGCTCCTGCTTTGTCCACAGCTGGGTCCCTCAACCCTTAGACTGAAGACTGGCAGACAGAAGCACCAAGTATCCATTCTTAATGATGGAGCGAACACTCAACACCCTGGCGAGGTAGGTACTGTTATTACACCCATTTCACAGATGAAGAAATTGAGGCTCAGAGAAATAAAGCCACTTACTTAGAGTCACATAGCTGGTAAGTAGCAATGCTAGGATGCAAAACGAGATCTGTCAAGAAGCAGAACTCCAACGAGGGCTTGCTGTGTGCTGTGCTGCTGTAACCCCAATGGGCATTTTCACACTTAATACCACAGAGTTTTTTTAAAAAAAAAAAAAAAACTTGTTGCCAGCAGGTGGATTCTGACCCACAGTGACCCTACAGGACAGGGGAGAACTGCCCCATAGGGGTCCCAAGGCTATAATCTTTACAAAATCTTTACAAAAGCAGACTGTCACACCTTTCTCCCAGAGTGGCTGGTGGGTCCAAATCACCAACCTTTTAGTTAGCAGCCAAACACTTAACCACTGTGCCACCAAGGCTCCTAACATCACACAGTGGAGACTACTACTACCTCCAGTTCACAGAGTGGCTCAGAGAGGCTGAGTGACTTGCTCAAGGGCATGCAGCTTATAACGAGGAGGCTGGGATGTGAACCCAGGGATATAACCCACGCTGACTCACTCCCCTGTTCTGCTTCTCAAAACATCTGAAGACCAATGTCTGCCTCAGACCACTTAAAAGTGAAGTGCTTCTTCACTAAACCGCCTAGGCCGTGCGTGCTGGCTGCACAGCCTAGGACAAGTCAGTCACCATGGCACTGAGCCTCACTTCTGCCCCTGCAGAGACCAAGGGAGCAGTCCCTACCCCTTACAGTTCTCCTGTGGGTTAAACATCAGGCCCTGAGCAAGGACACACAGCCAGCTCTTGGTTAGATTCATGTCATGCATGGGTTGCCCTGAGTCACAATCACTCGACAGGTCTCGTTTTATTTTTACCACTTCAGTCCCTGCGTGGCACAAGTAGGAAAGGCTGGCCTAGAGTCCACCCACAGGCACTTTGGAAAAATGCCACATCCGAAAATTCAGCCCCTGAAACCTGCAGGGCACAGCTCTGCTCTGACCCACACGGGGCACCACGAGTCGGAACCGCTGGGCAGCAACTGCTCTGGCGTTTGGAGATTACTGCCACCAACTGTTCAGTGTACCCTCTCCTTTCCTCCTCCTCTCCCACCGTCCCTCACGCCTGTGCACACGTTTTACTCTCCAGCCCCCAAGGCCACACTGTAGCACTAGGGAGGGGAGCTGCGGAGACCAGGAAGTGAGAGGTAGGTGTTGAGCCCCGTTGGTCTGGGCCTCCACCCTGGCTCTGCCTCCACACAGCCTGCTGCTAAGTTGCTGCCAAGCTGCTGCCAATCCACTGCCAATCCAGGCCTCAGCCCCCTTGTGTGTACAACGAGGATAACACCACCACCCTCGGGGTGGCTGGACTCAAAAGCCACCATGTATGTACAACCACTGGCATTTAGCAGGACCTTGGTTAATCCTACCCAGCCACTTGATACACAAACCAAGATACAGAAGAGGGTGAAAATGGGGGGTAGGGAGTCCAGTCCTTGCCCTCGGCCCCTCCTCCCACTTCACACTCATAACCAAAGCACCTCCATGCGTGTGCCAGCCTAGATGTAACTCAGATACGACTGTCTGTCAGAGCTGCTCTCTGCCCATTGAAACAGATCGGACAAAGTCATATGTGCCCGGGATTAAGGGAGCAGGAGAAGGGGACCCCAACTTAGTCTGAGGTCAGGCGGGGGACGTTTCTACGGGGAGAAGGCATCCGAATGCAACCTTGAGCGCTAAGCAGGGGGAAGAGTGGTGCTGTCAGAGAAGCAGCTTGGCAAAGGCCCGGCGGCAGGAACAGCTGGTGTGTCGAGAACTCAGCCAAAGTTAAGTGTCTGTCAGGAATAGCCTAAGAGCAGCCCCCTGCCTGTGGCTGTGAGCATGGCAGCTCCACACCCCACTGAACAAAGGCGGCCCGGCCTTGCACCATCCTCATGACGGGTCACAGCTCAGACGGCGGTGAACATCGGGCTCTCCCTGGCTGCTCTCCGGAAGTGGCTCACCAGGCCTTTCTTCATCTGTCCTACGACAGAAGCTACACCGAAACCTGCTTGCATCCCAGCACCACCAAGACAGGTGACTTCACCCGAGAGGCAATGGCCAGGAACTGAACCTGGGTCCCCTGCATGGAAGCAGGGACGCAACCACTGACCCGCCACTGTCCCTGCCCTCCTGCCTAGTCACCTCTATGGATGAAGGGATCAGCGAGGTGTCCTGCGGCCACTCTCACCCTTGTACCCCAAACCCAATTCCCTCGAGTTGATTCTGACTCACACAAACCTACAGGGCAGAATAGAGCTGTCCCATGAAGGTTCCCAGGCTGCAAATCCTTATGGAAGCAGACTGCCTCTTCTTTCCCCTGAGGAGCAGCTAGTGGGTTTGAAGCATCGACTTTCTGGTCACTAGCAAAGCTCCTTCACCCTTGCAAGGCAGCCACTCAGGTCACTTATCTCAGCAAGGATTCTGAAGATGAAAACTGAAGCCCTGAGATGCACAGGTGCTTGATCAAGGTCCCCAGGCAAGTGGCAGCACTAGGTAGGTGGCCTCGGGCCAAACCCCGAGCCCCAGCTCCCTCAGCACCTGCCTTCTGGAATTCAGAATCCCAGGGCAGAATGGGGCCAGACGTTAACCGGCAAGCCCTCTCCCTCTCAATAGGAGCTCTGGTAGTGCAGTGCTTATCCCTTGACGGTTACCTGGAAAGGTTGGCGGTTTGAACCGACCAGTGGCTTCACGGGAGAAAGCTGTGGCAGCATGCTTCCATGAAGATGAACCTTGGAAACCCCGGAAGGCAGTTCTACTAGGTCCCATAGGGTCGCTCAGTCGGAATCAACTCAATGGCAATGGGTGTGGGTACCGCTCTCAAGTTAGAGGTTAAGCCACTTGTGCAAGGTCACACAGGTAGAAAGTGGGAGAAACAGGACCTGAACCTGATTCCAACTCCACAGCTGTTCACTGTGGTGGCTGCTCCCGGCCTCACTGCAGCCCCTGGGGCTCCCCACTGTCAGGCCCCAAGGCCAACCTCTAGCAGGGCACAGACAGGAGACTCATCACAACCCCCACATTAAGCCAGCCAGCCAGGCCGCGGCCCCAGGGCCTCAGTTCCCTCTGGATCTGCGAGGGCCTTAGACTTGACCTTCCTCCCCCCCGGAGTCCAGTGCCCCACCATAGCCTCTCACATTACACCAGGAACGAGAACAAGATCCTTGGAGGCAGCCGTCAAACCCAGACCCCACTGGATGCCCCGCAGCTGAGGCGAGAGTGGCCTTGGCCCACAGCGGGCACAGTGTCACAGGCCATCCCCATCCTGCTTCTGCTTTTCTGAACCAAGAAATGGGCCTGACGTCCCTTGTGGTTCCCATTTCTCCTGCTCCACGGGTCACTCTGCACAATGACTTATGGGGTCAATACAAACGGCTGAGATTTGAGTCGCGGTTGTGCCATAGGCCCTTCTCTTCCACATGACCACCTGAGCCACAAGGCCCCCAACAAGGAAGTGGGCCACGTCTTCACTCTGCACACGAGGACAGTGCAGGGCGTCATCCAAA